GTAGCATGTTGTTAAGACTGCATGCATTTGCATAGTTTCTAAACTTTCTTTTGTTGTTCATTTCTAATTTTATTTCATTGAAGTCTGAAAAGATTTGTGGTATGACTTGGAGTTTTTTGAATTTGTTGAGAACTTTTTTATGACCTGATGTATGCCTGTTCGAGAGAATATTCCATGTGTTGATGAAATGTTTTGTATAAACATGTTAAGTCCAGTTGATCTAAACTGTTTAACTCTTTTCTCTCTACATGATATGTTCATTGATGAAGACATGATATTGGATTCTCTACTGTTATTGTACTGGATCTTTTCTCTCACTTTAGATCTAATAATGTCTGTTTTATGAACTGAGTTCTTTAGCTTTAGGTGTATATACACTTATGATTGTTACATCTTTTTGTTGAACTCTTCCCTTAACCATTATGTAATGACAATCTTTGTTTACTTGTCTTTTATTACTGTGCATTTTCACAGTATTTGCCAGAATTATATTTTGAACCTAACAATGTAGAACCGTTAATATATTGTTTATTTGTAAGATAATATAGTGTTTATTTCTATCACATTAGCTATACATAATGACTGAAGTCCCAAGAGACTCCCACTAGTTTTATTAGTATTATTTTCTTATCAGAACAGTTTTGACTGATTATTGCTCAAAGATTTTAATCAATGTCTTTATAATCAGTGTCTCAATATACCTAACATATAAGATTGATTCAGAACGAAGGGGATAACATCTATAAAGACAATAAGCCATAATATAAAGCTTTGCTATGCAAAGATGGTTATGTCATAATTAAGAAAAGTAGTCAAAGAAATTTGGAATGAAAATGATGGAAAATTCATTTTTGTATGACAAGAAGATAATTAACTAATAATGATATTTCTAGCAGTAAGTACTATAAATTCTCAAAATCACATTTAAAAACAGTGTTTGTGAGTTTATGGTCCAGTATTGCTCTTCATTCATTAAATGAACCTATTAGGGATGGAAGAGAGCACACTGCTGAAACCCATCTAATTCTCCTCGAGACTTACCTATGATTATGTATCAGTATTAGTTCTTACAATTTCTCCATCCATGTGCTCTATTCTTTGGTAATTTGTATTTGGTCTTTTCTTTTTGTTTGATTGTTCTAGCTAGCTATTTATCAATTTTATTGATTTTTATACTACCAGATTCTGATTTTGTTAATTTTCTTTACTGTTTTCTGTTTCACTCATTCTTGCTTTTCTGTCAATTATATTGGGTTTACTTTGCTCCTTTTTTGGTAGCTTTTTTTTTTTAATGTGTGGTGCTAGGGATTGAATTCAAGGTTTTTCCCATGAGCCACATTTCCGGCCCTTTATATTTTTTGAAAGTCACTTAGTTGCTGGGACTGGGCGTGAACTTTTGATCCTTTTGCCTCAGCCTCCTAGAGTGTTGGGATTATAGGCATGTGTCACTATGCCTGGCTTTTTGTAACTGGCCCAAGGTGAAACCTGAAGTAATTGATTTTTTTTTTTGTAATATAAGTATTTAAAGCTATAAATTTTCTTCTTAAGAATTGCTTTAGCTCTAGCTCACAGATTCTCATATGTTGTGTTATTGTCATTCGGGTTAAAATATTTTCTAATTTGCTTATTAGTTTCTTACTTGACCCATGAATTAATTAAAAGTGTAGTTTCTATATATCTGTTTCTTTTCTGTCTTACTGTTTAATTTAACTCTTTTGTACATTCTGTGTCATTTCTGGCTGTGGATCGATCCTTTGATTATTCTGAAGTATCTTTATTTTGAGTGATAATTTTAGTTTCTGAGGTCTAATTTAAGTTGTATTAATATATTCACTTTCACTTTACTAGGTTTACAGTTTGCATGATGTAAATTTAGCCATTTATTTTCAGCCTATCTGTATTTGCAAATTATAGTTCGTTTGTAGGTAGTGTATAGTTGTCTGTGGGATTTTAATTCATCTGACAAAGTACTTTTACTTACTTCCATATTTAACATATTCATTGATATTAGATTCAAGTCTAATATTTCACTATATATTTTATGTTTTCTCCATTTTTTGGTTTTATTTTGTATTTTCTTTTCATCCTCTTTCTGAATTAGTGAATATTTTTAAGAATTCCTGGGCCAGGGATTTAGCTCAGTGGCAGCGCTGTGCCTGCCTTGCAAGTGCAAGGTCCTGAGTTCAATCCCTGGTACCAGAAAAAAACCCAAACATTCCTTTTAATTTCATCTATGAGATTTTTTGCTATACTTATTTTTTTAAAAAAATAATTGCTCTAAGAGTTACAATATATGCTCTTACCATTTTGCTGTACTTAGAGTTACTATTTTACTCTGCAAGAAATGCAGAGGAAAATACAGTATTGTAAAAATATAGGCCTATTTTCTTAACCCATATTTTATTCTGTAACAGGTATAGAATATATTCCTGAAATTATATGTACCTCCATTTATAAACCCCCCAGTGGCACATTGCAATTTTTATTTGTATTTTAAATAGGGAAAAGTAAACATTGTGGTTTTCATCCATATATTTAGTCTTCCTAGTGGTTTTCATTCCTTTCAAAAGATTAATTTCCATCTGCTGTTTTCTCTTCAGAAGACATTTCTTTGCAACTTATTATAAAGTAGTCCTGCCTTTAATTATTATATTCATTTTATCTAAAAAAATGTTCTTGGTTTACTTTTCTGTACTTCCTTTTATGGTAGTTGTTGTGGCTGCTACATGTCTTGAATCAATTCAAAGTATTTACCTTTTATGATCATTTTGACTTTGGAGAAGAGCCAGAATTCACACAGTGTCAGATCTGGTGAATAAAGGACCACTGACCACTATAATGTTTTTTTTGTTGTTGTTGTTACCGGGGATTGAACTTGGGAGCTTGCGCTTGCACGGCAGGCGTTGGAACCACTGAGCTAAATCCCTGGCCCCACTATAATGTTTTTAAGAGCCAGCCTTTCCATTGGATGGCATGCAGCAGCAGTATTCACTGTGCTTTTTAATCACATCCTGTAACACATGAAAGACAACTTCGAGAACTGCTTCAGAAAGTAGGAACAATGATGGGATAAGTGTATTAGAAGTAAGGGGGAGCACTTTGAGGAGGATTAATAACAGTGCATCTTTTACTGAAATAAATTTTAAAAATTTAAACATGTACTGGATATTTTAATCCACCTCATATATGCCACAGACATGGGGTTGCTCTGAGTAGAAGCTGATAAAATTGGCAGTTTTCTCATTGCTGTTTCCTATTTCCACGGGTTGGCTCCCTGTAGAATCTCCATGCTTTAGGTCATTCTCTAGTACCTTCATGTAGTTGTTTTAAGCAGTTATCTGTACAATTGTCTGCAGGGGACCAAGGGCTCAGGGCCCACACTGGGGCGCCACCTGTGGCCAACCCCGGGCTCAGGTCTGTGCTTGGGGTGCCAACTGTAGCCAGCTCACCCAGACAGCCTTGCTCCAGGACCTAGACCCATCACTTTGTTCCTCCCTGACCCAGGGGGCAAAAGAGGATGAATAAATCAGCTTAACATGTGGGTACCCCTGGGGTTCATACCACTAGTAGGCAGAGTAGCCCAGAGCCTGTTGCTCTCCCTGTTTTTGCTCACCCAAACACAGGCACAAGCAATCAAAGTAACACAAGATTCATCTGGTTTCCAATATCCATTAGTGCATTCTCTGGTAAACAACCTCAGCTGTCTTAAGTTTTCCCTTATATGCAATATGCAGTCATCCCTGAGTGCAGCCTTTCTCCTTTGTGCTCACAGAGGAGGTCAATTAGGGCTTAATTCTTCTCTGGTCCTTGACAGTTGTCATTCTGGTAGAAGTTTTCTTGTTAATACTATTAACCAGGACCTGAGATTAACATTTCTTACCATATAATGTGTCCTACTGTGATGGGTTGTATCTAGATGTCCCCCCAAATCTCATGCAGTTGTACGTGGGCCTTTTTGGAGGTGTCTGGATCTAGGATGTGTGTTGCTGGGATCAAGGATGTAATGCTGGGATTGATTCAGGGGGTGATGCTAAGATTAAGGCTGCCCCACCCTGGGTGGGTAGGCTTCTTAAGATGAAAGGGGCAGAAAGAGGGTCAGTTATTGTCGCTTGCTGGTTGCTCCCTTCTGCTTACCTGCTCTACCATGCCACCCTGCCTTGGAGCCTTGGAGCCAGCCAACTATAAACTGAAACCTCTACAAACTGAGCCAAAATAAACGTTTCCTCCTTTAATTGTGGATTTCAGGTATTTTATCTCAGCAACAAGAAAAGTAACTGAGATACCTAACTAATGCTATCATTTTGTACAAAGAATAGCTGGATTGGTAAGGATGAATAACTTTATTGAAACAATTAGAAATAAGAAATATGGTTGACTAGATAAGAAGGAGAGATTAGAGGGATAGGGAAAACCTCTATCCTTATAGATTAGGATATTAATTAAATACATTTGATTTGTTATATTATCTCACGAGACTTTAATCATTAAGATTTGATTAGAACTTTTATACCTTTCACGAATTTCTGTTCAGGGTAGCATGAACTGTAGTTTTGCTACTTGAGAAGCTGAGGCAGGAGGATCGCTTTAAAGCCCAGGATTCAAGGAGAGCCAGGGCAACATAGTGAGACTCCATACAAAACAAAACAAATGAAAACAATTACAAGTAGGAAAACAGACTCACTTGTAAACACTTTTTGATTGATCCTTAGTTTTTTGCAAAGTTTTTTTTTCCTGGTACTGGGAATCGAACCCAGGACCTTGCACTTGCAAGGAAGGTGAGGCACCACTTAGCTAAATCCCCAGCCCTTGCAAAGTAGTTTTTTACAACATATGTTTCTTCATATAATTTTAACTGAGTACTTATTCATAAAGAATCATATTCAGATGCTTGCTTCCTGAAATTAATTTTTGAGTTCATAACTAAAGCTACATTTTTTTCAAATAATTTTGTAAATGAGAAATATTTCCTAATTTTATTTAATAAAATCTACTTACTATAGGTCCAGGTCAAGACCTCATCCACGTTCCCATAGTCGAAGCAGTGAAAGGTCCAGTCACAGAAGAACCCGTAGTAGGTCCTGGGATAGAGATCGACGTAAAGGCAGAGATAAAGAGAAAAGAGAAAAGGATAAAGGCAAGGACAAAGAATTGCACATCAAACGTGGGTAAGTTGATGCAGATTTTATGAAGTGATGACTGTTGGTTCCATAGCTATATTCAAACTAAATTTTCTTTCTCTGAGATTTCTCTCCTATTCTTATCCTTGTGACTAAACTCCTGTAAGGGACCAAGAAGATAAATATAGGAGAGAAAACAGAAAAGATAAGTAGTTACCTTGTTTTATTATGGCACATTTCTATTTCTGTTTTCATTTAATAATAACATAACAACTCTTAGAAACACATCATAAAGTGCAATATCAATGTTTAATACATAATCATAAATTTACATAACTTTCAGAAAGTTCTACATTTTATTTCTTTTATTGTGAATATGAATTTAAATGTAAAAACTGTATAGTGATTAAAGACATCTAATAGGTTATTGGAAAGCTGTTAAAGGAAAGGAATAAAGATGCAGCAGAAGCAGGAACTATGCAGTTTACTATTGGTTAGGCCTATTTTCATTTAGAATAGGGATTAGGGCAATAGTATGGTGCATATGTGGATTAGACTGAATCTATCCATTATTATTATTAAAACTGATTTGGAGGTTGAAATCCATTCATAGCTGTATATCAAATTAGAAGATGTTAAAATGAAACTAATCTTTTTAGCAGCTTAAGTATACTGTGTGTTTTATTCCAAACTGTCATTGGAGTATTTAGTTCTATAAAGTAGACCATCTTGGAATTTATCACCATTGTCAGTCTTTCAGCATCCTGAGGGACTCTCTCTCAGAGCTGATTGTGTTCTATTAGGCTGATTCCTGGATACCAGGTTCATAAGTAATAATGTTGTATTTATCATTATTTCTTAACAGTAATCCCAACAAAGATAATGAATAAAGTAAAAATAAGAAATGTCAATCGAAGGATCCTGGGATCTGATTCTAAAAACCTATGATAATCTCCCAGTTTCAGTGGTCCATAAAATGGAATGGTTTTGTGTCAGGGTGCCCTTTCTCCTAAGTAGAGCAGAGTACATGTAGTTTCATACCTCTTGGTCTGATCAAAAATCAAAATAAGGATTTTTTTTTATCAATGTGTGCATTTACTATAGAAGTATTTATTTATATATGTACAAGAGCATCCTGTCTTGTTCCAGAAATTATTATTTTTTAAAGCTTAGATCTTTATTTCATAAATCTGATCTTAAAGCCATTCAGAACTTATATTCTTGTATCACTCAGAATACCTAATGTACATTTTAGTTTTTCGTGAATATTTATTAAGTATCAAATATGAACATTCATTCATTTACTTGCCTGGTCAACAATATTTAAATGCCTTCTATTTATCAGATCCAATGTTAAGGATAGGCACATAATATTAGTGCTAGTACTTCTTGGAGCTTCCATGCAAATGGAAAAAGAAGCATGGAAGGGAAGGTATACAAGTAACAACAGTAGAGTCAGAGGAGTGTTTGTAGCAGGGAAAACAAAAGAACATCCAAACACAAGACACTTTTGACCATAAATAACAAAACCCAGTTATCAATGGCCTAGACTCAGGAGTCAGCTCACTTATTTGGATAGTAAATTATTTAGGCTTTCTGAGCCACGTGGCCTTTGTTGCAGCTCTTGCTGAACTTTGCAATCATGGATTAATGTTAAACTACTGATCAGCTATATTCCAATAAAACTATTTACAAAAACGGGGAGCTGGCTGGTTTGGTCCAAGAGTTGTCATTTGTTAATGACTGGCTTAAACTACAAATATGCTTACTGCTAATTAATAAGCACTTTAAAAGGTAAGCAGTCCCAGGCCTTTTGTTTTTGTACCCCTAGTAGACCATTCTCGTCATGTTAGTTTTCATCTTCAGTCTTGACATATTCTAGTCTCAAAATATCTCCAGGAACATTAAATTGATTGATCTATACTAGTCCATGTGTCACAGATGGGCTCTTAGAAGAAATAATATTTACACACTGAAGGAAAAAAGAGAGGAAGGAATGTTCTAAATATTCTATGCAAGATGAACTTCATACTAGAAGAATGGAGGCCAGCACGGGAATATAGCATATTTACAGAACTGAAGTCTATTAGGGCTTGGTTTAGAGTAGAAGAGGATTAATGATGAGAGATGATTATGGGAGAACCTTATATTATGTTGAAGAGTTTAGAGTTAATTCTTAAGGCAGTGGAAAGCCAGTGAATAATTTCAAGTAGGGAAATGATATGATCAGATCTACATGGGCATGAACAAAATGCTTTACTCACAGTAGACATAAAAATGATAAGCATCTAACATTTTAAATATGTATTTTCTTAGTCTCAGTAATTTTGCTAAGTAATTACATGTATTATCTCATTTAGTTACTTTATGTAATAGGTACTTTTAATGTCCTATTAATATACATGAAGGTGCTTAGGCTTGAAATCATGGAGCTAATAAATGGCCAAGCGAGGTTTCTAATTCAGGTTGACTGATTATTTTACCTTGATTCTCACAGTATACTATCTCACTTCTTCTTTAATGTTCCATAATTATTGATAATGAGAGTTCACTTAGATCAAGTGGGTGCTGTTGGCTTCAACTTTCCTAGAATATTGCTAAAGAGAACTGAAAGAATTTTCTGTATCATATTTTTCCCTCATCAGGCTATAAATAGGTCAGTTTTTAAGACTGATTCCTTTTTTCCTTCTACCTTTCCTACTTTACTACCTTAGCATTTTATTTGTTTATCTAGAATTATAATTAAATATATTCACAATTTCTAGGCCTGATGGTTTCATTAGCGGTCTCTTTCCAGATGACTTTAAAAATTTTGTGGGTAGGGAGAGAAAATATTCACAAACATTTTAATTAGGATTTATGTGTTAGTTTATTGTGATTACACAACCTCATAACAAGTATTTTAGCTTGTGCTAGACAATCTATGTACTTCTTCACATACAGAAAAATATTTCATGTATTTTGTTATGAATAAGAATCTTTGTTTTATCATATTGGTTTGACAATATCGATATCATATGCTTTTTGGTAGAATTTAAAGTATACATTGATTAAGCAGAGCAAAGAGAGTAAGTACAGTAGTGGTAAAGCAAAGTAAAGCTTTACCATGTGTTATGGGTTAGACCAAAAATGGCTCCCTCAAAGCCTCATGGTTTTGGAAGGTGATTGGATTATGGAGATATTATAACTGACTTACTCTTGGAAGGTAGGATCTGGTAGGAAGAGGCAGGTCAATGGTGGCATAACCTGGGCAGTATTGTACATCTCCCTTCCTTTCTTCTTCCTTCACTCTGCTTCCTATTCACCATGATGCGAGGAGTTTTCTTTCACTGTACCCCTCTGCCATGCTGTTTCTTCCCCGGAGCCAGATGACCATGGTCTGTAACCCTGAATCAAAATAAACCTCTCCTCCTTTGTGAGTGTTAGGTATTTTGTCCCAGAGACAAGAAAGTAACTAAGACAGATTTTGGTACCAGAAGTGACTAAGACACAAATAAATAAATAAATAAATAAATAAATAAATAAATAAATAAATAAATAAATAAATGTATACATTGGGAAAAAATAAAACAGGAGAGAAAGGAAT